TAAACAATGGCTTCATTCCGAGGCTGGAGTTTTATCTTTTGTCGAAAACTCCAGCCTGGAAATGAAGCCACTGTTCCGTGTTCATCCAAGCGAATTCGGGATTGGTCTATTGAGTAACTATTAGCTTGTTTATCCTGCAATACTCCAATTTCGAGTTCTGGTTTGCTCTGTGTTAGCCTCAAACCCAAGTAACATATTCTTCTGTTTCATTGATAGCTCGAGAAAACGCATGGAATTTGTAAAGAAAGACAATAAAATTTGATTTGAAATCACACTTTTACGCTCACAACTAAGAAATATTTTGCGCACAAGTGAGGCTAACACAGAGCATTGGAGAATTCGAAACTAGAGTATTTAGCTCAAAACCATATTATAAGAACCTGCTTGATAATGTTTGGCTATAGAGGTTCTTATTTAAGGGGTTGTTAAAATGGCAAATTTCTGCCAAGAGGTTCTTAATCCATTAGATTCTTATTTTTGGGTGTTTACTGTAGGACMTAGAGCCTGCGTAATATTCAGAGCCTAAGTACGAGGACTCTTCGCATTTTTGAAACATTATATCATACATGTAACCAAACTAGGCTTTTTTAAAGCCTCATGCAATATYAATTAGTTTATTCATTAGTAAGATTCTCAATGGTTAATTGTAATGAATTAGTTTCCTTCCTAACAAACGACTGCAGTTCAGATACGTACTTTTGCCTTATGTCACATAGTCGCGTTTGTAGAATCCCTCTAAGATCTTCTTCGGTGGATTTGTTTTTTCTTAAATTTAAATCAAATAGAAAGAATGTTAGCAATGTGTATATGCCGCCATATTAATACGAATGTTTTGTTGAACCGTATTAGCGAGCACTAACACTAACAGCAAATGTAATACTGAGAATACTCTCCCAATTAGTTTACATTACCTAACATAATTCAAATCCGAACAAAAATGATACTGAAAAAAAAAAAAAAAAACAATGGACGTGTGACTTTGAGACACGCCAACCAGCATTTTCTGCTTTGAAGTCAATCAATTTTTTTTATGTAAAGAATACAAGCAATTTATTAGTCAGGTGAAATAAACATGGAATCAATTTTTGGATCCCTGGAAATAGCGTGACAAGTTACGAAGTTACAAAGTTACATTCTGTTACATTTTTGTCAACATGTCTCGGCAGGATGTCACCGTTGCGTATTCTTGGTTTTCAATGATCACGTTATAACATTAACATATAACATATTGTCCGCCGTTTGTATAGTTTAAAACACGATCTCGAGTGTTTTATATAGAATAAAGAATAAAGTGTTTTTATAGAATAAAGACTCTTAAACGCGTTTCCTTGCGTATTGTATGCTTATTTTAGCTTTAGACGTGCCTTGTGTCTCGATTTTGCAGCAGCGCGCAAGTAAATAAAGATTCTTAAACGCGTTTTCTTGCGTATTGTGCGGTTATTTTAGCTTTATAGACGTGTGTTGTGTCTTKAATTTGCAGCAGTGCAAATAAATAAAGATTCTTAAACGCGTTTTCTTGTGTATCCGTAGTTATTATTTTTTTTTTAGATTTTGATTGTGTCTTTTGTCGTTTTTGCGGCAACAGCACAAAGGAATAAAGGCTCTGAAATCATTTTACTTGCGTTTTGTTGTTATTTTAGATTTTATTTTAGATTTTTTGTTTTGATTTTGTAGCAACGCTATTCTTGAAAAAAGCACGACCCATGTCACTATCTATTTCACGGGTATGTTATTTGCACTCTACAACACGCCTCTACGGTCCAGTAACCACACTAATAATATACATGAACTCAATTCTGATTGTCTGATAGCATCTCAATTAATTCTTAATTCAGTGCAATTACATTTCTGCAGTGCAATTACAACAGATTGAACAGTGCAAAAAGCTGTAATGTCAGTGCAATTACAAACAAATTTGCGCTTTTGATTGGCTAAGAAACAAAAGAAATATTTTCAGCCAATAAGAATCAACTTTCTTTGTAACTGAAAACTTTTCTTAAGAATCCAAGATGGCGGACACTTCGACGATAACAGAGAAAAAAGTACTCAAAAACTATCAACAACTGCTTTTTTTTTGCGTTTTTTTTTGTTATTTCTTTTAAAAATGAAATAACAAAAGCTTTCTCACTGAAGTATTGGACTAGGATTTTGTATTTGTGAAGTTTCAAGCTTGCTATTGTAGTTACCATTTTAAGACGATTTTGCATCGAAAATAGTCTCGCCTTCCTTGCACCCGTCCAGCTCGATGGAATTCAGTGCAGTTTCAACGTGAAACCAGCTCAAATACTGGCTTTTTTTCCACATTAGCCAGCAAAAGGTATTTTTCTGTTTAATTGACAATGTTTTTACTGTCCAAATTCAAATAAATTGCTTTAAAATGGAGTAAATCATGTTTTTTTTTTATCAGTAAAAATGACAAAGTACAAGTTTTGAAATTGAACTTTGTTTTGCTTCAATTTTTTGATTTTTTTTGTACAAAAGAATATGTACTTATTGACTGAGTTAGGTCGGGCCGTACGGGAAAATATTTGGCTCGAGGTTATGCCGTACGGACCGAGCGCACTCAGTCAATAAGCATTTTATCATATGACATCGTTTTTTAATGTAAAAAATAAATAAAAGCGCGCGGAACTTCAAGCCGGGAAAATACGGGTTTGTACGGACCTGTCGCAAAAAGGCGTACGGACCCCATCACGTGACCATTTTGCAAAGGTTTCAGTGAGAGCGCGCGTAGGGCCGAAATACGGGTCATATGATAAAGCCTATTCTCGTTCAATTTGGAATTAATTTGCACTCGTTTGTTTTTCAAAGAGCCAAATTGCAATTATGGCCTCTTTGAAAAACAAACTGGTGCAAATTAATTCCAAACTGAACTCGAAACCATCTTATTACCWAAAACTATACTAAATTAATCACAGTTAGACTACTGTAATAATTTAGTTGAATTTAGCAAAATTTAGTAAAAAATAGTCTTTAGTAAGTATTGCACGGATATATTGCTTGGACTCTGACAGAAAAGTAACAAAATGTAACTTTGTAACTTAGAGGCAGGATTAGAATAGCGTCGTAACCTCGTAACTTGYAACGCTATTTCCAGGGACCCTAATTGTTTTTTAGGTATTTCTACTTCAAACATGTAATCAACAGACTTTTGCGCATATTTGGAMCAAATTTTTTGGGCCAAATTTAAACTTTATTATTTTCTGTTCGTAACTATACTTTGAGCTACAAGACATTACCTGTAAATAGTATGTATAGAATTTATAACCTCTTTACGTAGTAGTCTCAGTTTATATTCTGTAATTGTTTCTTAAACCTCGATATTTTACCGATTTTCCCCTTCAGAACTGTGAAATTTTCTAGCCTTTTTTTAGGTCTTTCTGTGTTGATAATCTTGACCGAAAAGAACTGTTGCGCATGTTGCGCCTGCGAGCAATTTCAGCAGTTACAGAAGATTCGAAGTACTTATACGAACTTGCAACTAGTAAGCTTACGAATGCGGATAATATTGGCACGAAATGCTGCATTACATGTCGTCCTGTTAACCATGTTACATTTTCAGTGCAACTGGAAGACAAAMATTGGAGTTACTCTCCATACGCTCGACAACGTCCCACTGAGCTCAGAGTTATCATTTTTTCCTTTTCAATTTACAACCCKACTTTTATAGCACAATTAAGATAATAGGCCTAATTCGGGTCGCAAAAAGGTGTTATCATCGAAGCTGGAATTGTAATTACTCAGAAATTCGAATCCTATTTGCCTCAACATGTTAGATTATAGCAATACTCGAAAATATTTTTCAGGAAAGACTGTTAAACTCACAATATTTGCTTATCTTTGTTGATGCAGCCTTTTGAAAGTCGATTACGTGTAACAAACTTAGAACTCTCCCCAGTCTATTTTACAGACCACAATAAGTATAGAGTGTAATAATATATTACTTATCGCTTACTTAACCAACATCTTGACCGTTGCTAACGCTGAGTCGCATTCTTCTCTGTATGCCTGGATAAATAGGAATGGTATTATTCAACAAGGTGGCCCTGCTATTTCATGATCGATGTCTTACTTTCAAATCAACTTCAATCTGTAAATTCTGTACATAGAATACATTACATGGGCGAGCGAATGTACGACTCAGGAGGAGACGACGGGTTCCTTGGAGAAATTTATCTGTTCTTATATGTCCCAACCAGCTGTAACTGGTTGCCAGCGAGAAATTTAGAAAAAAAAAGAACTTTCTAAGATTTTTTGCCAAGGAAATAATTAACATTTTCTTGTAAGATTGTAAACATGTAGCTAAAAATCCCTTTCCCAGGAAAAAAATCGTATAAGAACAGTTGTTTAGAAGAACAGACTCCGTCGGTTCCTCCTGACGACTAATCTTCGAGTGTTCAATTGTTTCACGAATGAGCTTAGCGAATGAGCAAAATATCCTACATTAAAAACGAAACTTCCAGGTAATATTCGTTCTTTTAAATACATATCGATAAATAAATTTGAATAATCCAAAAGGCTCAAAAATTCTTCATTAAAAAGCTGAGTGTTTAAATACGGATTTTTTGTTCCAATCCTAAAATATATGCTATAAATGCTATAAAATCCCACATCAGTGAATCCCTGAGCGTATTGATTGGCTGAAAAAGATTTTACTATGCCAAACGCGATATCTTCATAAATCATATGATATCTTCCATCCTATATTAAAGAAAACCTCAAATTTCATATACATAATAAATATTGGGCAATAATAAATATCGCAAAACCTTCACCTAGTAAAAAGAAACGAARAATTCTTTAACATATCAAGAATAATACCAAGACAGTTTCTGCCACACACATGTRGTGATCGGATAGTTTACCTTTTCAATGTCGACTCTCTTYTGCAGAATGGTGATCATCTTTTGTTTGTAATCATTGATTACGCCACTGTGATTTAGTGGGTCGTTCACGGGAGAGCGTCTATTTTTTGGTTTACGACTAAAATTCCCGCAATSCATGTTAAAAATGTTGGGTTCAACACTTGGTTGCTGTGTAATAGAAGCACTTGGACAATCTTTTTCTGACGATGCCGTTACGATGGGGTCTAAAGAGGCACAGAGAGAACTGGAAGAACGCATGCCAAATTCTTGGTGTTCTGATAATGGACATTTCATTTTCACGTTTTTCTTTTTCAGCTCAGCGTCAACAAATTCATCGAGGCTTATTTCTGTGCGTTCCTTTTCGGATGAAACAGATTGAACACTCTCCACCAAGCAGGTCGATGAAAACGCGACGTTATCTTTGTTTGTCTCATGTAGTAGAGATTGGTCATTGTGAGCTTGTGGTTCATTGGAAGATACTGCAGTACAAGTAGCAGGGTTTGTTGGAGCAGAATCAGGTGTTGCGGCCTGATTAGAATTTTGCGAAGCTGTTTCTAAACTACAGATGGAATCAGGATTTGGAAATACAGTTGATGGGTTACTTTCAATTGCTTTATCATGMATAATCTTGATACATTCTGAAAGATCTTCGCCTATCTCTATGGCGCTCTTTTGTTCAGCCCATCGCTCCGGTTGCTGCTGACTGTCTCCGTTTTGTTCAGCATCAATAACCGACAGTTTATGGTTATCGGAATTAACTACGCAGTCAAAGACGGCGCCCTTAACCGATTCTGCTGTTGAAATTGATCGTTTGGAWTCCATGGTGTCCCGAGTTTCCTGCATTTCTATATTTTTAACAGAGTTTTTTTGAATGCTTTCCTCCAGAGCTAATTCAAGAAGATCATGTCCCTCATCCAAAAGCACTTCATTTGAATTCTGTTCGTCCAGTACCCGTTCAAGGAATTCGCGTCCTTCATCAACTAGCGTATCGTTAATATATTCTTTATCTTCATACTTACTATTGTCAAAGGATTGCGTGACAGCTTTCAATTCATTCAAGCAATTATATGGAGAATCTTTTCTAGTTTCACTGTAGCGTTCATAGCCTTTCGTTGCTTTCTTCATGGCGCTTATAAGACAAGTAGTTTTATCACGCAAMGATTGTTCAGGCGAGGAAAYACTGGATAACTCCATTGGCGCTTTAGTGCATAGTTTTGTTGATGGAGAGGAYTGAATAAAATCGCCATTCTCCTCTGCATTTGAATACCTGTAGTCAAAAGACCTAAATCTTCCACAGTTCTTTTCAAGGTTATTACTTGATTCATGACTAACTGTTGTGCACGAAATATTTAAAGATTCTTGATGTTCACCCTCAAATCTGGATAGCCTTCCCTTGCTCTTCCTCTTTTCTTGTTGCARGTTACAAGATCGCGAAGATAGAAGGGGCACAAAGCTTTCTGGATTATAGTCACTGTCTACATAAATGCTTGTAAGATCCGAACTTAATAATTCTACAATGCTATTAGACTTGTTATTAAATTGTGCCTCTGCCTTGTTTCTTTTAAAAAGTACATCAGCACTTATGCCGCTCGGATAAAAGCCCTCAAGAGGAACAAATACTTCTGGGYTGCACACTTCAGTCTGTGTTCTGATAGAATCCGGAGAACTCAATCCAAGATCATGAGTTTTATAAGAATGACGTCGCTGTAAAAGACCTTTTGTTTTTTGGACAAGTTTTCCTAATGATAGGTTGTTAGTGTTTCTATTGACCAATTTCGGCGATTTTTTTGTTGGTAACGATTCTGGACTAGAAATTCCAGTGGATATTTCATTGTCACCTTCGTTGCCAGAGGATATAATATCTTGATTAGAATAGTTTCCAGGTATTTGTGTAATACTATTACTAGTTTTGCTTGTAGTGACAACGGCGTTTGAATATGATTTGGTTCCAGTTGTAGATCCTTCCTCATCTTCTGAAGATAAAAAATGATCTGTTGGTGTATAGCCAATTGTAGTCAGTGACTGAGTAGCTAATGACATATCAGACTCACATTCCACTRAGGTTGGATCATGTACTTCCTGCTCAAGATGACTTTGCTTTTCAGGATCCTCAGGTTGCGTAAAAAATGCACTGCAGGATTCAACCGTGCCTGTAGAGGGAGTTGCTAGTGACATATTGTCAAAGCACTGCGGAGAAGTAAGGATGTCAACAGGTGAAACATTTTCAGGATCATAAGGCATTGATTCGTTTCTTGATCGTGTTAGTGATGGTGATGATATTGAAATGTCGTCAGAATGAGAGCAATCAATCTCTACAGTATTTTTCTCTGAAATTTTGCATTCGCTTGATGAGGAAATTTCGATAAATGTTTTGGCACTATGAAATTTACAAAGTGACGAGTTATCGCTGAAAGACTTGTAAGTGCTATTGGAAGGTTTCTCATGATGTGAGAATTCACTACATAGGCGTCTTTCAGATGTTTCATCTTCACTTGGTGAACATAAATCAATACAATTATTGCTACCACATTTAGAAGATGAGAATACTTCACAGCTATTTGATGTAAGTTCGCTATATGTACTTGSATCTGTATGCCCACTGCACTGGAGAAACGTTTCCTTTACTATTTCAACAAAATTTGATCCTTTCAGTTGCTCTTCTTCTGTGCTACAATGCTTCATACAACGCCCCCTTGATGTTTTATCTTTCGAACGCCTTTCAAAATGTCTATTGTAATTAATGTCAACAGTCTGCGGAATAATTTCTTTGGGCTGACAATCGCATTTGTCGCCTGGCATTTTTTCATCAAAAAGCAGATTGTTGGTAAAGAGATTTTCACAAATACCATCGTCATGGTGATGCTCTTCATAGTCTAGACACGTGGCAGCTTTGGGCTTACCATCGGGTTCATTTACGAAATCGTATGAACGATCGTATTCAACTATACATGCCTTTCCTTTTTCTTTATATTCTTGTAAGCCTTCAACTCTGGAATCATAGCACACTTCCGGTTCTTTATGATCGACATTACACTGAAGGACATTGCTAGAGTTCTTATATTCAGAACTGCTAATCAAATCGCGATTTTGAGTCTTTGACTGTGCAACTTGATCGTGTAAAAGAAAATTTTGTTCTTGATCACGTCTCTCTGTTTTTGTGTAACAAATGACATCATCTATTCTGGCAGATATGCATTGTTCAATGGCATTTAAAGGATTGTTTTCAACTTGAAGTGCACGGCCACTGCKGCCAGTTTTTTGACCATAATGACACATAACACTAATATCTTCTGATCGTTCGTCAATAACTGATTCACATTGTGTGTCAACATCACATCTATACGGCTTGCTTCCACGTTCGTCTGTGGTAGCATTGATAATTGAGAAATAGATTCTAYYGCACACCTCTAAATTGCAATTAGATTTGTCCTTGTTGTTTTGTTGAGTCGCGGCATCATKAATTAGCAATTCACTTTTAGCGACTACATTGAATTCTGGGTCATTTTCGTGCGTAAGGCTGGATAATGATGAATCGCTTTTCGTGTCTACTTCTGGATCATACTCAGACGTACTAATGTTATTTTGCTGCAGCGCGGAATTATTACCAAATAGAGATTCACTCTTAGTGCCAACTTTGAATTCTGAGTCAACTTCGGACGTAGGGCCAAATGAGGAATCACTTTTCGTGTCAACTTCTTGATCATACTCAGTCACACTGCTCCCGCTTTGTTGTAGTGCGGCAGAATTATTACCAAATAGTGATTCACTTTCAGCGTCAATTTCTAGATAACACTCAGATATGGCACTGTTTTGTTCCGGCACAGTACGATCGCAAAGAAACGATAATTTTTTAGCGCAAGCTTCTGTATTCAACTCAGAAGTAACACTGTTATTTGGTTGTACCACATTATCATCAATTAACAAATTTTCACTTTCTATATAATCTTTTGGATCTCTGTTACACGAAGCGGTTTTGTTTTGCCCTAAGGTACTACGACATGATTCACTCCTAACGTTAACTTCTCGATCATAACTGGTGTTGCTATCACTATATTCTGATGCMTCACTGTTACCTGATAGCAAATGATTTTTAGTATCAATAGAAGAGGTGTACACAGTGCTGCCAATAGGATCGTCTATGAAGTTCTTAGACGATTTTACAGCATCATGTATTTGAAAGGAATTTGCACAACCMAACGCAGATTCACTTGCTTCTTTTGTATCTTTTGCCAAGAAATCACGATGATTTTTGTTATTCTTTAACAAGGGTGTCGAATGAAGTTGATWCTCAGGTCCGAAATATACYTCAGTTTGTACTTGATCAATTATGACATTAGCTTTAGTAGCATCATTATTAAATACACCTTCTGAGTTCTTGCACAAACCGTCCCTTGACGTGATATTTTCTCCATCCCAGACATAATTATTTAAAACAAAAAWTTGTTGTTCTTCGATTCGTTCAGAATATTCAGATTCTATTCCATCTAAWGCAGTTAACACATTGGCTTTGGAATCACAAATACCGAATGCATTCGCAGAGTTCTTGCACAAACCTTCAGTCGTCATTGCATTATCTCTACCGCAGACATTAATATTTACAACCGAATTTTCTTGTTCATTGATAAATCCTGACTTATCAGTTTGTGACACAACTTGATGGAGTTCAGTGCCATTACTTCTGTTTCGGTCGACAYCCGTTGAGATCGAGTGTGTAGATGTCGAATCAGATGCTGTATCAGACGCCTTTGAATCAGATGTTKTATTAGACGACCTTAATGAAGACAAGCTGCTCTCGTACTTAAATTCAGATGTCGACTCAGACGTAGTCGAACTAGACGTGGTTAAAACAGACTCTGAGCAAGTGCTTTGATCGAGTTCTGAATTGATAAACTTTACGTGGCAACCATTCTCAAGCTCTTTTATGGATCCTTCAAGTTCTGCATTATCCACAGTGGATTGCTTGAATTCCTCATGTTCCTTGGTGCGAGAAGGATGACTTTCGCGAATTACATCAAAATTGCAGTGATTGTCTTCTATTTTTCCTATTTCAACTGAATGTACTACAACATTGTCGTTCTCTTTCTTCGCTGTCATCAATTGCGGTATATTTCTCTTGGGTGAAACTTTCCTCATGTCCTTCTAGGTATTAAGCAGACATTTATTACGTGCTTTAGCTGAGTCGCAAGAAGAGTGCTTTTAATAAAGCCACGAAACAAATTGCACTAATAGATGATCTCTGAGATGCGCTACTGCTTTCAAAAATATTATGAAACGTTTTGGATTGTCTATGGCACTACGTCATAATCGCATGGCACTCGACTAATATGGGACAAAATATGAAACTACGATCCCGTGACAAATAAAATCTAATTTTGCTCTTATCTAGCACAATAACGATTCATTGCCAGCTTTTCTAACCACTTCAATGATTATGAATGTGAAATCTTCATTGGGCGACGAAAAAATCAGAACATGCAAATGCTCTTGTGGGCGTTTATGCTCGACAGCCAATCTTTCATGATAACATAATTGGCAATACAACAATCAACTTTTCATAAATGCATAAATTCATACAATGGCACTCAAAAAGGTAATCAAAATTGAATTAAAAGTAAATGGTGGCTAAGTTAACTAAAGTATAATCTCTTATAACAATTAACGATATATAGATTGACTTACTATAAAATGGTTGACGTAACAGCAATACAATATGCGCTTTAGGGATAGTACACGCTTAATATCAAAGCTAAGCAATTTTGCAATGCCTAAACTTGTAGCACGAGTCGCATGGGAACTCTGTAACGAAATATGCAAAAACGAACTCACAAAATGTACTGTTTTAACGATTTAAACAATGTAATAAAAAATTAGGTAACAGCTAATAGGGATATAGAAGATATACAGCTATATGCTATAGATATAGAAGATATATAATTATAGGGATATAGAAGATATATATATATAGGGATATATACGTATGAGTTTAACGGAATCAAAGGATATATAGGGATATATATATATAGGGATATACAGCAATATGCAGAAATTATGATCTTTTTTCTCAAATTTCAAGTTATTATGGGATATCATCGCCTATATTTTTTTGAAGTTGCCCAGTACTAGTACTTTGTGAAAAAAATATAAGCGATGATATCCTATAATTTCTCATATATTTTAGATATACTTGAAATATGAGCAAAAAGATCATAATTTCTGCATATTGTTTTAGAAGATGCTGTACAGCCTTTTGCAAAAATTATGAGAATTGTTGAAATATCTAAATATCATAATATCAAGTGCATGATGATGGGTAATCCCGCGCGATGCCCTTAGTCCCTTGTCTTTGTAGTTGTTTTTTTTTGGCGACAGACTTATCCGTAGTTCTGAACATTTTCTCGATGTCAACAATGAATTATTCTAGCAAACCCGCGTGTTCCGGACAATATATGGATATGGATATTATGATATTTAGATATTTAGACAATTCTCATAATTTTTTCAAAAGGCTGTATGAATATGAATGTGTTGATATATATATATAATATATGATATCAAAGAGGCAAGATTTTGCTGTAACTCCGAGTTTCGTGCTACGCACTCATCAGACAGTATTTAATTAACTGGGAACCATAGTAGAGGGGGAACTCATGGGTGTTTCCAACAGGTCCGTCTAAGTCTTTATTAATAGAAAGCGCTAGATTCAATACTGTAAAAATCTCTGGATATAATAGTTCTTTTAAACGAAARATCACTTGCACGACTTGAAAAGAAATACACGTACGAAATAAAGGTTTATAAAACAGAAATATAATCATATAGAGCAATTTGGCAAAAAAGGTTTCTAGTCTGTGCGCGTTGCGCGATTATGACGTAGTATCACTGTGAATCTGCATTTAATTAAAAGCCCACGTTATCACKATGAAATCGTGTGAAATTTCTTGGATTTCTTTTATTCTTCATCTGAATTCGTTCAGCCTCTGGCGCATGCAATATTTTTGAAAGCGATTCAGAAATTGTCATTAAAAAAGTGACAACGTGTAATAGCACGCTGAATTCGTTAAAAAAAGCATTTAAGGTGGCGTCCTATAGTTCTTTTTTTCGAACACACCTCTCCTTTTAAATTCGCTTTTTGAACATCTTTGCCGTGCACCGACTTATTTGGTGATTGGACYAGTAATAAAGCATTGATCAAAGTTTTGTTTGGCATAATATTTAAACCATTAACGTTACCTAGGYAACGGAAATAGCAYTTTGCCAAATATCTCAAAAAATTGATGAGAYCCAGAAAAGCGGTAGACATCATCATTAACTTMAAACTATTGCACAACGTTTTGGAATAGTTGAAAACAAATTCGTCTGTTCGATTTCGAGCAAAAAGCAAATTTATAAGGAGAGGTATGGTCTAAAASTATAAGAAGCCATACCTTAACTAGTTTATAAAAAAACACTGTATAATATAAATAAWTACTTACAATTAGTTCTACTCGATTATCGTTATTGCAGGTTTTATTTCCGGAAGTTGCCTTTRTTTCTGAAGGATTGAGTTTACTTTTTGCCATTCTCTTCGTAACAGTTCTATAAGACTGCCTTGATGCACCTAATGACTTGCAAGCCTTCTCCCCATTATTTTCCACAGAGTAAGCTAGTTCAACTACTCTTTCATTGACAACTGTAATGAAGAATTGAAACAATAGAGCTTTTACTATGGAAATCAAGAATCCATGTGCACAAGTGGGAASAAAATATTGCAAATGAATTACTCTCGACGTTGACAATGGATTTCCAAACTAATTTATGCAAACAACTCTAAACTCCTGAGCATGTAAAATAAAGAGCAACGTGCAGGCAGGAAGGGATCTAAGTGAATGGCTGTGAGGGCAAACTAAGAGATCAATAGATTTGAAATTCTCCAGTTATTCCACTCGGTTTTCTTTGACATGCAGTTTTGTTCACGATTACATTGGCAAATGACAAATACTAGGGTAGTACTACTCTGTTTAGCTAAATGTGGGTACATCACCCTCGCTTATTAGCAAGTTCATACTAGTATATTTCCTTAGTACTTTTCTCAGTACGTATGTGACAATAATTTAACTTCAAAATTGTGCTGTGCCTGAAGATAATTTCATATTCCAATTTACCTTTTGCTTCTTTTTTATCTGAGGAAGAAGCGGGGTCCAAATGTTCWCTTTCATTCTTTTCCGCACTTTCATTCTTTTTTTGCCGTCGAGACATGATTATGAAACGTAAATCATCACGTSGTTTGTCRGTCGCATCAAGTGTCGGKGAAGAAGCAGTAGAGAGACCATTACACAAACTAACCTTCCTTTTTAATGCTTCTCCATTTTGAGAAGAAACAAGTGTTTGTTTGGAAGGAGAATTAATTCGACGAGTAGCTGCGTTTTTCATTTTTTGGTTTTGTTCCTYGCATGTGTTCTTGTCTTTATTATGCTTGTTATYATCCCCATTTAGTATGTTACCTGACGACTGCGTTACGTTGTTATGTCCACGACGACTGTCACTAGAGATTTCTGAGGAATTGTCCTCTCCACGTGATCTATTAATATCATKRCGAAGATCTCGTGATTCCMGATTACGTTTTTCTGCAGGTGTTCGTGAAGAATTGCGTGAGCCCCGAGAAACAATGATTTCGTCACGTAAGTCACGAAATTGCTTGGGTTGTTTCGGTGAATCTCCAGTAGAGTTAGAGGTAAATACTTCACGTGACAATAAATGTTCTCTTGTAAGCAGGCTTGGTGGTTTTTCGGATTGGCTTTCATTACGTGGCGAGAATTTCTGCTTTTTACCGTTAGTTTTTTGCTTTTTATTATTAAGCTCATAMATCGGTATTTTCCTCTTTTGTGGCGGAGAAACATTCTTCCTTGGTGATTTACTACTCCAATGATCTGCAAAAATAGGAAAAAAATTACAGTTACAAAAATCAACGTAAAGGTTAGTGCTAGTCTGTTTCGCTAAATGTGGGTACATCACCCGGTACATCAAGCCGGTTTAATTTCCCTTGAAGGACCGCCGTGAGCGTACATGCCACCACAACCTTATTGCGCACTATATCCGCTGTTAACTAGCAGAAAGATTAGTTCTAATACTCGACATTTTCTAAAATCAGCTGTTACGTACCATGTAAGAAAAGGTAGAASCGATCACTATGAATTTAGATAGATAGATGGATAGGTAGTTTATTGTAAAACAGCGCAGCCAAATTTATGAAATAAATCGGCTTAATTGCGAAATACAAGTAAAATTTAAAAAAATAAAAAGACAATTAATGTAAGTATACAAATACATGATATGAATCCTAGATATATAATATACATTGACATTGACATCTTTAGGGACAGAACCCCCCTTGATAGAATTAGTTTTTTTTCAGACCCCCCTTTCCCATTGATGGTAAAAATTAAGGACCCCCCTCAACAAAAAATGATTCAAATATTGGAAAATTATTTTTTTTTATTTTTCAACTATGACTATGTGAGCAGCCACTGGAAAAAATCGCGCGCCATAAAGGTTGTAAATTTGATGTAAATATGATGTAAGTGTCCAAAATGATGTAAATTTGATGGAAATGATTTACATCAAATTTACATCATTTTGGACACTTACATCATATTTACATCAAATTTACAACCTTTAAAGCGCGCGATTTTTTCCAGTGAGCACTAAGGAGAACTCTTAGAATATGAGCTGTAAACGCTTTTAATTTCGTACTTGTTTCGTCTCTCTAACGTAGACCTCTTCAGGGAATAATTTTGTACAACTATCACCAGGTTGAGGATACTAGTGATGAGTTTATATATCAGATACTTAGCAGCAACAGTAGACACGGAAGGAGGTGGAGATAAGGAAATTGCCAACCGTATTCAGAAAGCTCGTGGTGTGTTTAAAAGTAGTTTAGGGAGGGTCTGGTCAGTGAGAGGAATTGGAAGGAAGACGAAACTAAAAATGTTTGACTCGCTAACCTGTTTTGTTATTATTTAATTTATGGAAATTGACCAACCATGAGAAAAACTGGATCCTGAGGAGTAAATAATGTTAAATGGTGGGAGAAGATTTCAAATGAGAGGGTCAGGGAAGTGGGAGAAGGTGAGAGCATTAGTAGTAAAATACGCCAAAGAAGATGGAAATGGATTGGGCATATACTTATAAGGGGAGAGCAAGAAAATGACTGTTTGACAGCCTTGGGAGTGGACACCACCAAAGGGAAGCAGTGCAAAGGGGAAACAAAAGATAACATGGAGGAGTACAGTACTAAAAGATCAGAACAGGATAGGGTGGAGGAGCTGGGATGAAGCCAAAACAGCTGCAAGGGACAGAGCTGGGTGGAAAAATAGAGTGCAGGCCTTCCGCGCCTCCTGGCAAGAGAGAGAAATGATGATAGACCAGTAGTATATAACATTTAAAATGTGCTTTTTCATTTGAAAATGAATCACATGGTAGCCAGTTTAACTATTTATAAAATAACACATTAGTCACAATGTTGTTATTCACGTTCCAATTTCAATCCCAAAGGTAGTCGTGGTCGCCTACAAGAGTGGTTGCCTA